CCCCCTTTGAGAATCCTGGCTACGTCCCTGTCCGTAAGTCAACTGTCGTACGACGGCCGACGCACTGTGTGTCCGACGACTAAAAGTAAAGTAGAATGGTATTACACACTACGAGGTACAAATAAAAACTTTTCATCGAATACATTATATTACACTGACAACATTATAAAAAAGTAGGCTATATAAGTAATATATTTACAAATTAGATGTCAGTGTACAAAAACAGTAGACCAGGTCAACTTCGTATTGTTGCATGAATGATATTAAGCGAGATAAAAGAATATACGTAACAGCTAGGACAAATGTATAATGTATAATGTCATTCCCCTGACAATCGAAGCTAGAGCTCTCGTGTTTCAATAAATTATGTTAGACGAGGAAGATTGTAACCGTTTATATATTTTCCATATTTGAATAATCGTCTCTATACTAATGCGCAATGCTTTTATCCGACTCATGCTTTAATATATGTAAGCAATATAATAAGGTAGACTGGTACTTCAATATGGATATTAATATATAACAATCTAATAACAAAGCCTAATGTGATTGGGTTTTGGAAATCGTAAATTTTATACAATTCTGTATTAATTTATGAGTTCACCACGTATGTATGGTTTAAACTTAAACCAAAACTGACCTCTTTAATAAAAGCGTTGCGGAATTTTCGCAGTGATGTGGATCTTCATGTTATTTATTTGTATATTATATGGGCTAGGGCTCTAATTGTGATTGTTAAATTGAATTAGTGTAATTAATCAATCAATTAATTAATAAATAATTAATTAATAATTAATTACTTAAATTTAACACAAGTTTAATGTCCCAGTTAAGCATTTTACAAACACATTTAAAGGGAACGAATTACAAAATGAAAGGTAGAGGTAGGATAATAACCCATAACTCGCAGCGTCATTGTGCTGAAATGTGTATAGGCGTGGCCATAGGAAGCGGTCCGGCGGATTCGGTTTTGATCGGACCAACTTTTAACTTGCATTGATTTGCACAGACCTGACTTGTCTTTTTTAAAAGAATGTACCACACAGTACATTATACAATCAGAACACAAACATCATTGCATAGTGTACATTTCTATATAGTTTGCCCTCCAATTCGAGATCACCTCCGGGATCTGGAACTGTGGTGGTCTCGGGGCTGGGTCTCCAATTAGGGGTTAGCTTTGTTTTAAAAGATTGACCATTTTTATTTGGTTCTGGAAATGTGGTCGCGAATTAGAAATACACATATATACACACACACATATATTATATATATATAATATATTATATATATATATAATATATATATATATATTATATATATATAATATATATTATTTATATATATAATATATATATTATATATAATATATATATAATATATAATATATATATATATATATATACATATATACAAAGACAACAGGAAACGGTTGACTTTTAGAACACTATTTTATTAAAACATGAATATTTCGACCTGACCTCAGGTACTCTTCAGCATGACTGAAGATGATATATAGTATATATAATTATACATATGCGGAGAATGTTCCTACCATTTAACAATAGGCTTTACAATGTATTCACACAAAATCTGTTCCATTTCAGGCAGACACAGGTATAGCATCCATAGGAAAATAGTAGAGAACACTATTTCCAGTCTCATAGTGCCATCTCCGGGCATCAGGTCATCTCCATTTTCATCGGTTAAGTCAGTAAAGTATCTTTCGAAACATCACGCTAACTAGTGTGTATGGATGAGCTAAATTCGTAATTAAAGCTCTTAAGCTTGTATTTTTCAAGACTAGATGCTGCTGACTATACTTTCTAAAAGAGCGTTCCAGTCGATGATGGTGTAGAAGAAGAATGAATCCCTGAATACTCTTGATCTATGCATTTGTTGCCGAATTTCTGATTGTGCCCCCTAGATATATGAGTGTGCGAATGTCGACGAGCCCACTCTGCATCTTGTAAATCATTCTTAGCTTTCGACGGCGTCTTCTGGTTTGTAATTTGTGTCCCATTTCAATTCGCCGAGGATGATGTTAACCGTGCCTTCAATCAATCAGACATGATCCAGCGACACATATTTTTCTTAATGGACGAATCCCATGCACTCGAAGCGTACTCAGAAGTCGGACCATACTCTTTAAAGCGGTCACCTTCACATCTTCGCCACAGCTTCAGAGATTAGTCCTGATGTCATTTTTAACTCTTTGAGCCTTGATGATGGTTGCTTGGATGTGGGTGTCCCAGCTAGGGTGTTTGAGATATGTATTCCGAAGTATGGGGATGTAGGAACCAAAGTGGCCCAGTGACCGTAGCTTGAGGCATATCGGATGTTACTCTTGCAGATTCAGATGACTAGATATTTTCCACAAATTCCATGGGCTTCGACCGAAAAAGAAACCCATGTTGATATTTCCCCACTTAGACCATAGTGTTCTAATTTCAATATAAGACGGCGATGAGGGATCTTGTCGAATGCTTTTGAAAAGTCAAGCACTGCTTCATCTACAAGGTTGTTTATATCCACTTCCCCACTAATATCGTCTATGCTTAGGATGAGCCGAGTTTCAGGTAATTTTTGGCACGAAAACTTCATTACATGGCTGTGGATGATGTGCTCCAAGGCTTTACACAACACAGAGGTAAGAGATATTGGCCTGTACTTAGCAGCTGTGGTCCTGCTTCCTTTTTTGAAGACTGAAGCAATGTTTGACGGACGTTTGGAAGAGGTTTTGTAAAGGTTAGCAAGTTGACTGGCTCCAATTTTTAAGAACCATGGATGGATATCATCTGGTCCTTGAGCCTTTGTTGGATTAAGATTTTGAAGAAGATTTTTCACCCCTATTAGAGTTAATATATGCAGATGCTTGATAATTGGGTACTGACTGGTTCCCAGGGAAGGAATATCCCCTCTGGTTCATCGGTAAAAACACTAATGAACTGGGCATTGAGGATGTTAGCTTTCTCTTTGTCATCACTCACCTAGATCCGGCGTATTAACAAATACAGGATATGGAATCTTGGTGATAAATACATAAAAGAAACAGATAATTATAAATATCTAGGTGTGTCTCTAGATTGTATTTAATTTAGATAACTACCATATTGATGAAGTCATCAAAAAAGGAAATAGAATTATTGCCTATATAAGATCAATAATTAAGGAACAAGAAGATTTTAATAGAATTTTTTACGGTGACCTACTTTGGAAGACAATCGGTCTTCCCACAACCAACTACGCATGTAGTGTCTGGTTTACCAACAGTAAAACATCCATTGACGAGATTTTTTACTAAAATCCCCAAGAAATGTTGCTAAAGAGGCCCTTTATGGTGATCTCGGATGGAATTTTGTAGAATCCATCCAGACAAACATTAGAATTGTATATTTTAATAGACTTAAAAACATGAAAGATCATAGGTGGCCAAGATTACTTTTTCAAGCTATATATTTCAAGTTTATGGTGTTTCAAAATGGCAATAGTTAAATAATATTAAGAAAAGTCTCAGTAATTGTAATTTATTAGATAGTTTCAATCTTAACTTATCATATACACTGACTAAAGATTTTAAAGAAATGAATAATATATATGATAAATCAAACTGGTTTGATCATGTTCAAAGGAAGTCGTCACTCAATGACTACACTTTTTTTTTTTATAAGAACCAGTAAAATTTTGCCCAGGCTCCGTGTTCTTATTTTTTGGTCGATTTCAGGCTCAAATTGTTCTTAATTTGTTCTTATTTTACAAACTTTTCAAACATAGAAAATTATTATTGTACATCAAAAATGAGCCCTGAAAAAATGCCCTGGAAAAATTGCCCCAGAAAAAAGGCCTGGTAAAAATGGCCCCAAATGACAGTACACCTGATTATAGGAGGTATTACATAGTCACACCCACATTACTGCACATAAGGTACAGATATAATTTTTTGGTTTTTCAAAAACCTCATTTGACATTTTACCTCAGCCTCAATTTGTTCTTAATTTTTAAGCAATTTCAGCCTCAGTGTTCTTATAAAATGTGTTCTTATAAAAATTTAAAAAAAAGAAGTGTTATACCAAATTTTGAGTCATACCTCCTTGACAAATGTAACTTTTCAGAAGTGGCTCTTAAATTTAAAGCTCGATCAAACTCGCTTGATTTAGAAGGTCGCAATGAAGCCTGGTCAACTTGAAACACAGGTCTTTGCAAATTATGTAAAAATGGTTGTGAAGAAACAGTAGATCACTTTGTTTTTAAATGCTGTAAATTTAACAATATTAGAGATACAACATTCCAGAACTTAAAAATGAACTTAATGAATACAACTTTGATATATTTTGGGATATGTTTACTTTCAAATTTTAGACACCATCTTTTCTTTGATGACCTGTCTATCCATAATGAATTTCCTCTTAAATACAATTTGGTTGATTCTGATTACAATGATGCAAGTTTTATCTTCGACAAATATTGTAGAAAATACCTTTATATTGCTTGGATGAAACGCAATGAGCTGTACAAGAACCTGTAATATTATATTCTACCCTGGTCTGTAGAAAAAGAAAATTAATAAATAAATAAAATAAATAAATAATCGACGTTCCGGTAATTTCACACGACTACTAAGTACAAGTTTTTTGCAGCTCAGTGTGTTTCATTCAGTTTACTTACTAAATTATAGTAACAATTTTTTAGATATACAAATAAGGGTAAAACTTTACTGTAAATTGCTTGGTTTTGTTTTTGTTATGCTATTTATCCGTTTGTTGTTTTTGAACTGTCTTTTACTTTCCTTTGTTTATATTTTATATTGTTAATGGGTGCACCATCAAAGTGATGGGTGCCACTGATCTAAAAGTGAACCCAATAAATCGTATCGTATCAGCTATCTTAGAATACTCCTGTCGGAGCTTCTTGATGTAAGACCTGAACAATTGAGTGTTGTTTTTTTCAAAGCTAATCCAAGCGTGTCACTGGTGTAAGTTGTACGGGCCTTCTTCAGGTGA